GCAGCGGCAGCCCCCCGGTGCCCCACCTGCGTCCAGCGACACAGGCGCTCGGCTTCGGCTGGCCCTGCTGGCTGTAGAATTGCGTCTGGCAGCCCTCGAGATGGGGATTTTTGACTGGGAGACAGAAGCTCCAGCTGGGGTGCGTTTAGGGCAGCGTTGTAGCAAGGTAATCTTGCAGGGCGCCGTCTCCCAGTGGCATGCGCAGCATGGCTGGGACCAAGGCTGTCACAAGGAAATGAAAACCCCCCCTCCGTGAGTGGCTGCCCAGCCAGATGCTCTCTTCGTCTTTGTGCTTATCCCAGATCTTGTGCACGTGCGGGAGTTTCTCTCACGAGTGCAGGATACTGAACCAAAGCCTTCTGGAGCCAGGTACTGTGGAGGGGGCAGCAACAGTCACATCCTACAGGAATGGGGGGGAACACACACAGTTTGGTGCATGCCACATGTGAGGGTGCAGTGGGGCCGTGCCTGGTGTGTACAGTATTTACAACCTGGGCAGTGTGTGCACAGCAGCAGCATTTTTGCAGTGTCTGTGCAGTGTGTGGCAACAGCGTTGATGGACAGGTCCTGAGTGGGTTTTCATTTTGGAGGTGCGCAAGCCCTTGACAGGTGCACAATGGGACATATGCTTCCCTTCACCACAGTGGAGGGTGCTGCGGGAGGATTAGAGGGGTATAAGGAGCGCTGGAAGCTCCTTCCACAGCTGACCTGTGGAAGCCCAGGAGGCAGGGAGAGAAGGGAAGTTGACTGATCGTTGAAAGACTGGGTGGGAAAACCCTTCTGAGGATGGTAGTCTGGGGGTCAAGGCCCAGGCAAGCTCTCAGGGGGAGCGTAGGGGCCAGAGAGCTTGGCCATGGCTTAAGAACCTGCACTTCAGTCCAGTCCCGCACTTAGTGGCTCTCACTTCTTCCGGTTCATGATCTGGCTGGAAATCCAGTTCATCCCATCCTGGAAGGAAGAGAGGTAGATGAGAGTATGGCCCTAAGAGCATCCCAGGCCCTTAGCTGTTCTGCCACCTCTACAGAGCTCGCAGACCCTTGCCTCTCTACCTGCACTCCTTCCCCAGACAGGGCTGAGCAGGCCTGGATCTGCCATTCCCGGTCCCGGTAAGTGTGGAGGCTCAGTCCTTCTGCGATTTCAGCTGCGGGTGCTGCAGTCACTAGGTCCTGCTTGTTAGCAAACACCAGCAGTGGGACTCCCGTGAGAGATTCCTCCTCAGTGAGCTCCGCCAGCTCCTGCCAAGAGAGAACCATCCCCCAGGAGTGCTGCCCCAGGAAGCCCTCTTCTGTGGAGCTGCTCCAGCCGCTTGCCATTGCCCTAGCTGGCCTGGGCTGTCTGGGGTGGGATGGAGCAGCTCTCTCCAGCAGAGTGTCTCATTCCCCTGGCTGGTGCTGATAACGTGCCTGAAGAAGCCATGAGGTCTTATCTGCCAGATATCCCAAGGGAGAGACAAGTGCCCCTGAAACTACATCTGCCTTGAAGAGAACCTGGGAGTAGCATTCAGTATTATCAGAAGATAAAACACTCCCAGCACCAAGGTAGTCTTGGACATAGTGCCCCTAACTAGCCCTGCTGTCAGCCCCATGTTGTCTGGCACACCCACGCCTCTGTTCCAGGCGGCATCAGATGTTGGTACAGGCTAGACTGGCACTCAGAGTCTCACCTTCCCCTGCTTGGTTTCATTTCTAGGTTTTGTAACTCTGAATTCACTACTTGAGGTTCAAAGAATAAATCTATGCTTTGTCGTGTTGTTAACCTGGTGCTGGGAACGTGGGAGGACAGGGGTAAGGCAAGTAAACGAGGGGTCGCTCTCACATGCTCTCACTCAGGAGAGGCAGGGTTGGGGGTTGTCTGTCAGCTGCTGCTTTTACAAAAGGACTTTGGGGAACCTTGGGACGGGAGCAGAGTTGACCTCAGGTCAGATAGCCCTGGGACATCACAGCCAGCTTGGGTAAAATTGGGGGAGCAGGCCGGGCACAGAACAAGGACCTTGGGGTGGGGCACATCTGCATGCTGGCCGCCTGTGGTGCTGGGTAGAGACCCTGAACACAAGCCCTTCCCATGCAGCACTAGGGGCAGCTCAGCCCCTCAGGGGACAGCCCGTAGCAGCGTTGCCCCACGGTAGAGTACAGCCTCACTCCTCACTTAGTCCTCAGAGAGTTGGTAGCACCCCAGTCTGAGCCCTCGGACCCCACAGCCACCCCAACCCAGCCCCAGGGCTCTTCTGCCCTGGGTCTGGCCCCTCGTACCTGCCCCGTCTCCTCGAAGCGCTTCTGGTCTGCGCTGTCAATAACATAAATCTGCCACAGGGACAAAAGGGACAGTGAGCACCTGGCTGCACAGCCCCTGTGCCTTCTGCAAGGGCTCCAGGGCTCTGCTGGCCTACGGAGGCCCCAGTGCAGAGCGCACAGCTCTCCTGTGCGTGGGGCTGCCTGCAGCCGCCCCACTCACCAGCAGGTCTGTGTTGCCCAGATACTTCCTCCAGTACGGACGGATGGAGCGCTGCCCCCCAATGTCCCAGACATTCAGCTTGAAGCCATGCGAGTGGACGCTTTTTATGTTGAACCCCTGCACAGGGAAGCAAACCCAAATGTCACACAAGGGGAGGGCAGGACCTGCCACCCACCCACCATGCATCACCAGGAGCAGTACCTACCTGGGTGGGCGTGATGGTGCTAACCTCCTCGGATGCCAGGCGTTTCAGCAGTGTGGTCTTCCCAGCGTTGTCCAGCCCCAGCAGGATGATGCGAAGCTCCTGCTCTGAGGAGCCCTTCAGCTTCTGGATGACGGAGAGCAGCCCCTGGGGGCAAAGGATGCTGGAGGAGCCATGTGGGGTGCTGGGATGTTGCAGATTGCCCTGGTTTCAGAGGGAGGAGCTGGGTGCCCTGTTGGCCATGGGTACCCAGTGTGTGCTGAGCCAGCTCCAGGACTTGGGTCCCAAAGTATCCAGGCTCGAGACGGTTCCATGGCAGCTCTGTCCAGCCTCAATCCCTGTCCCTTGGGCGTGCTGACCCTGCCCGGGGAGCCCTGCCAGCTCTCTTGGGCAGGCTGGAGGGACAAGCCGGGGGTGATACCCTCGTCCTGCGCTGCCAGCCTGTCTGGCAGTGCCACAGTGCAGCCAGGAGCTGGTGCCAGGGCACCGACTCCAGAGCAGGTGGGATCTCGCTGGATCTCACTTACCTTCTGCACCTCACCCATGGTCTGGAGTCACCACAGCCCACGGCAGGCCTGGGGAGCTGCTGGGGGCTCATCCCCAGGGCCAGCCGGCAGCTGCGTGACTGGCCCATGCCCCATCACCGCAGCAGGAAGAGGATTAAAAGTTCCAGAATTAGCTACTGTTTCTCCATTTACCCACAGCATTAAATAATGCCGTCAGCAAATCCCCCAGCCAGCTGTCACCGAGCCCAGCCATCACCTCTCCCTGCGCCAGGATAAGCTGGACCCTGCTGGACAGGTCACTAGGGCACAGAGCATCCCACTCCCCACGGTGTCATGCTGCATAACGGGCTATGCATGCTCGGGCTGTGACCTGCCAAGGGCCAGCGGGCAGTCCCGGCCAGCGCAGATGCCAGCGCGGCAGGAAGGTGTGGGACCCAGGAATCAGAGTGTGGCTGGCCGTGGGATGGAGCAATGCAGCCGGGGTGTAGGTGGTCCTGGGACTGGCACTGCAGCCTCCGAACAGGTCTGTGTCCCTACACCAAGAGCACAGGGCTACCCGTTGCTGAGATAGTGGCGGTAGGCCACAGCCCCCCCCCATTTTTCAGTGCACAGAGCTGGCACCGCGCTCTGGACCCGGTCCCTTGGCCCAGTGGCACTAGACAGCGCCTGGCAGAGCGCAGCAACAGTGTGCACCTGGCCCAGACCCCAAAGCCAAGCTGAAATTACCAGCAAGAGATGCTGTGAGCAGGGGATGGGGGCAGAGAGAGGGCAGCCAGGGCTGCCAGGCCTTTACTCTCCCTGCCGGCCCCGAGGACCCTGGCAGGGCGTGCAGGAGGCAGCAGGGCTGGAGCCGGCTGTCCTGGAGCCAAACAGGGCAAGCCTGCTGGGACTGCACTCACCCTGCCCTGCAGCCCTGCCTGAGTGGCAGGAGATAATGTCTGGCCAGAGCTGCCCTAGGCCACGTCACCCTCTGCCTGTGCTCCCTGCTCTCGTCCGAGGGAAACCACCAGGCTCTGGAGCAGGTCGAGGGCTGGGATGAAGATAGCTGGAGATCAGAGCTGGCACAGGACAAGGGTCTGGAGGGGCACAAAAGCCACTCACTTTTCCCTAGCAGCATACCCCAGTCCAGGCTGGGCAAGGGGCTTGTCCATTCACCATTTGGATTTATTATGCTAATTAAGCAGTTTGTTGGATTCTTGCATGCTGCAGCTCAGTCCTCGGATCAGGTTTCCTAGCAGAGAGGTTATCCTTGTGGTGAGGACCGTGAGTCACGCACTCTTGGTGAGACATTTTTATTTATAACTCCTGCTGCAAAGCCAAGCCAAACAATGCAGTTATGCTCTGACAAAGGAAAGAGAAGAAGCACAATTGCCCCCCATCTGCATTGCTCGTACATGCTGCAGCAGGGTGCGAGGGGGGACAGTAACAGACCAAAGCCACCTCCTGCTCCCTGCTGCCCACAGACCGTGCCAGGACTGCAGCGTGCTAATGCCGCACTGCTTTTGTGCATATTCATACTGGAAACACTTCATTTTTCTCTGCATAGATCTGCACCCAACTTAATGTTAGGGTTCTGCTTTTGATAGGTTAATCACCTACCTTACGTCCCAGTTATTAGCATTTACATGAGTGGGTTGCCATGGTGCTCTGCGGTTTATCCTGTAACTGTGAGGTACTTATATTTCCTAACAAATATCCTAAAATATACTTGACTGGTTTGTGGTTGCTGATGAACATGGAACCCCAACCTAGGAGATGGGCAAAACTGCTTAGGCATCAGTTTGGTGACTCAAAGTTACACGTCCACCGCGCCTCTCTGCCAAGCTTTGCCCGAGTCCACATCGCAGGCAGCTTTTCCTTGCAAAGCTTTGCCCGACGCCGACCTCCCAGCGTCAGCAGCTCCGGGCAGCAGCCAGCATGGCCTGGGGGGCACAGGGCCCCCAGGGGCTGTGGGGCTGGCAGGGAGCTGCAAGCCCAGCCGGGTGCCAGAGTTGGGTCGGACGAGGCCGGGGACAAGGATCCCCCTCGGCAGCACGTGGTGGGGCACGCGGGACCGTGCCGATGCTGCCATCGACCCAGCTGCCTTCCCTCCCTCCTGCCCTGCTGCCAGCTTGGGTGATGCTGCCTCTGGTACCCAAGGAGCCCTGCAGGTCCCCAGGCTGCTGAGCCTGGGCAGGCTCAGTGCAGAGCCGGGGGCCGAGGGCGGAGATGGGGTCCCTGCTGCCCCCCCCAAAACAGTTCAGCCCGTGCAGGTGCCAGGGGCTCAGTCTGGTGGCCAGGGGACTAGAGGGGGACAGGAGGGAAGGGGACAGGGATGGGAATGGTGCTGAGGGCCAACTGGCACCAAAGCAAGGGGTGCGCGATGGTGCTGGGACAAGGAGTGCGTGATGGCACCGGGACAAGGGTGGTGATGGCACCGGGACAAGGGTGGTGATGGTGCCGGGTGGCAATGGCACCAGGACGAGGGTGGCGATGGCGCCAGGACGAGGGTGGCGATGGCGCCAGGACGAGGGTGGCGATGATGCCGGGTGGCAATGGCACCAGGACGAGGGTGGCGATGGTGCCAGGAC